CTGGGTTTACGTGTCACTGTGATACAGGAGCACTGGGTTTACGTGTCGCTGTGATACAGGAGCACTGGGTTTACGTGTCACTGTGATACAGGAGCACTGGGTTTTCCTGTCACTGTGATACAGGAGCACTGGGTTTACGTGTCGCTGTGATACAGGAGCACTGGGTTTACATGTCACTGTGATACAGGAGCACTGGGTTTATGTATCACTGTGATACAGGTGCACCTGCCTTATGTGTCTCTGTGATACAGGAGCACTGAGTTCACAGGTCACTGTGATACAGGAGCACTGGGTTTACAGGTCACTGTGATACAGGAGCACTGGGTTTACGTGTCACTGTGATACAGGAGCACTGGGTTTACGTGTCACTGTGATACAGTAGCACTGGGTTTACAGGTCACTGTGATACAGGAGCACGGGGTTTACGTGTCGCTGTGATACAGTAGCGCTGGGTTTACAGGTCACTGTGTTACAGGAGCACTGAGTTTACGTGTCGCTGTGATACGCGAGCACTGGGTTTACGTGTCGCTGTGATACAGGAGCACTGGGTTTACAGGTCACTGTGATACAGGAGCACTGGGTTTACAGGTCACTGTGATATAGGAGCACGGGGTTTGCGTGTCGCTGTGATACAGGTGCACTGGGTTTACATATTGCTGTGACATTTATGAGACTTGTTTTATGATTTATCTGTTGATGTGCTTGTTCCCAGGTGATGATGCAATGACTGGCGATACAGATAAGTACCTCGGCCCACAGGATCTGAAAGAATTGGGAGATGATTCGTTGCCTGTGGAAGGAAACATGAGTTATATGGGTTTTAGCTTGGGAGCTCGCTCAGCAAGGTAATGAAGTTTATTCTGTTTCATGTTATTATATTGTCGGGCATGCTTAGTATCCCCCGTCCTTTTTTGTAATATCAATTCGTCTATCTGGTTAGGAAGTCTCATTTTTGATGTTTGTCTTTTTGACATGTTTGTGGGAGTCTCTGTCAAGCTCTCTGTTTGTCACTCGTTCCAAATTGCTTTCAAGAAGTTTGTGTTTGGCGAAAGTGCACATTATTTCCACAGGCTGATGTGGGTCTATCAATAAGGATAATTGCAGTGTAACTGAATATCTTCATTAATAGGTCACATCAGGGTAAAAACAGGCCTGTTTCGGGATGGGATACTGATTTCAGTTTCCAAACTGTTCTGCACTAGACAGACTTGGACATAACACACTGCACAGAAATATGCTTTCGGATACCTGCAATTAAGCTTGATGTTGACTCAGTGTTTTCTTCAATCAACAGCTGTAAATAAACACTCATGGGCATTTCTTTTCTCATATCTCATTCAGTCACACATGGAGACTGTTTCAAAATCGACATTAAAACTGCACAATATTAATTCTAACAGTAGGAACATTAAACAGTTTCCAGCAGTCACTACCTTTAAACCACTGACTATGATACATCCCAGTTTCTGTTCAGACTCAAAGACTCACAATTTGGCCTCATTCAGACCCGACTGTTTATCCACAAAGCCCGACAGAATTTGGATGCTACCCTGTCATTCACTGTTTGTGATTGCAATTTATTTCTTCCCACACAACATACATGTTCTAAGGAGCTGAAAGGTTAATTTGCATGTTTTCTGACCCCAAGATACCTGTTTATTCTTTTCCAAAAAAAAAGCAACCATTTGTTTACGTAACTTACAACTTAAAATGAGGCTGCAGTTGCAATGTATTTACAGTGTCTGTGGAATACAGAGAAGATTAAAAATAGCAGCACACTGTTTACTCAACAACATGCCAGTTTATACATGAAGAATCAAATCCAGATTGAAATGTTTCAGGCTTAAGTGCAAAATGTTTTCCAAAACAAAACGCATCCCTTTAATAAGAGATAGTAAGAACTGCTGATGCTGGAGTCAGAGATAACACAGTGTGGAGCTGGAGGAGCACAGCAGGCCAGGCAGCATCAGAGGAGCAGGAAAGCTGACGTTTCAGGTCGGGATCCTTCTTCCCTTTAATGCGCTGCTTAATGAGTTAGGACATTATGAGTTAGGACTAAGGAATACAAGAACAGGAGTAGGCCATTCAGCCCCTCGCGTTAGTTGCACCATTCTGTCATACATGGCCCATCAGCATATTCACTCCATTTATCTTTGCCCTGGTTCTATAATTCCTCATATTTTGAAGTCTAACAAAAATCGATCAATGTATTTTTCACTTCCTTTTTGGTGGAGATCATTCCAAAATTGAATTGTATGAGCTTTATTGTCACACGTATTCAAAAGTTTACAAGTTGCTACTTACAGCACCATCTTAGGTTCAAAGGCACCCAGCTATAGATTCCTGCGTACAAATACTTAGGGAAACAAATTAGAAAAATAAAGAAATAAGAAGTCCAGCATTATGGACCTTCAAAAGTTCATGGTAATAAATTAGATAAATGAAGAAATATAAGTTCAGAATTGGTCTTTTCATGATAATATAAATTTAACATACAATCCCCTTTTTGTGAAGAAGTGATATCACCCTTGAATGGCCTGGCCCGAGTTTAGAATGTCTGCCTGCCCCCTCCTCCATGTTCTGGACTCTCAGTAATTAATGCAAGCAAGCTCTAACTTTCAGCTGACTGAAACACAGCTGACTTCAGGGCACTCTGCGAGTGGGTTCAAAGGGATTAAAATTGAAGATTTGCGCACTCTCACTGACTGAATTTTTGAGTCACAATCTGTGCTTCATTCAAGAAGTTTGTAGGAGCGGCAAGTGGCATAATCTGAAGTGACCGTTGGGAATCAGAAAAGTGATTTTTGGCTTGCCTGTTACAGGAATGGAAGTATTCTAGATTCTAATCACGGATGATCACTGTTCATTCTCCTGTTGACCGCTGACTAATGCCATGTGCCATTGTCTTCCCTTCTCCTGAGTAAACAGCTGACAGAAAGATCTGTGTGGTCTTGTGACTGCCTTTTCCCCTGACTATCGCTTTGCAATCGTACCTTAAACCTCCCAGGGAGACCAAAACAAGCTCTGAATGAATGAGCTGTTAAGCTCTCTTGAGGCATAGCTAATTACTTTGATAAATCTGTGCGTCAAATAAAACATGTGCTGAGCTGATATTTTAACCCTGGAATTGCCCTGTTCTCCTGTAACCTGATTGTCCTTTTTTTCATGTGTGTGTCTGGGGATGATACATTCAAAAAAATTGAGCCGCTGTGGGAAAAAAAAGTCTCCTGTTTACAAAATGACGTGGAGCCCAGGCAGTTTGTTTTGTACCTGTCCTACTCCTTGGAGCTTTGAAAGCGTCTTTAGTTTTCCAGCCATTTCTGCACTTATGTTGCTGCGTGTCTAATTGCTTCTCAGGCAAAACTTGTAATGTGCCTAGTGGATTTTCTTTTCAACACACGAGACCTCCATTTTTAATATTTAACCCAATTAAACCAGCACCATCGAGTCCTTTTCCCTGACCTCTAATGCTTTTTATGTGTACATTAAGCTGGTTCTGCCTGTAAGTGTCGACACCTCCACCAAATAGAACAACTGCAATGATCACATATGTGCTTTATTCTGATCGCTCCCTATTTTTACACAATCCTTTCTGAGTAACACACCAAGTTGGATGGCTCAGTGATTAGTACTGTTGCCTCAGAGCGCCAGGGACCTAGGTTTGATTCCATCCTCAGGCAACTGTCTGTATAGTGTTTGCACGTTCTTCCCACGTCTATGTGGGTTTTCTCCAGTTTCCCCTCTCGGACCAAAGACGTGCGGGTTAGGGTAGATTGGCCAGGCTAAATCACCCATTATGTTCAGGGATGTGCAGTCTAAGTGGGTTAGCCGTGGGGAAATGCACAGTTACAGGAATAGGGTACGGGGTGGGTCTGGGTGCAAAGCTCTTCGGAGGGTTGGTGTGGACTTGATGGGCCAAATGCCCTGCTTCCACACTGTAGGGATTCTATGAAATGGCGAAATGTTCAGGTTACTGTTGAGCTTTGGCTGAGATTTTCCAATCAGCTGCCATTTACCAGTCAGCAATTTTCTTTTAAACAAATTAACCTTTCAGCTCAAAATATCCTCAACGTGTAGCATGTGCAATAGTTAGGCATACTTTGCTGCTCCTCCCTTTCCCCATACCCAGCTACATTTCCCCATGACAGGGAGCAATATAGAGTTACACATTTCCTCATATCCCCATATTGATTTTGAGCCTCGTATTCAAATAAGTAAGTTATAAATAAAACTCTTGTGTAAAGTAAAATTGTCTTGGACACCAATTGTTGCTTCAGCCCAATTTGACTTTGATTTTTCACAACAGAGACTCTTTGCTATAAAATACACAGTGGCCGGGGGGTTAATCTTAAATTCCTGACATTCCAATATTCGGACTTTCTGATGGCTGTATTTGCAGTAAATCTGCACCATATATACACGGTGTTACCCTAACTCCCTGCTCCTGTTGATCGCCTCTCCCCCTTGATTATATTGTGCCAATCCTTAAAAAAGAAAGTGGAAACTGATGGATCAAAATTAATCTCAAGAAGGGTTAACCACTGGGAGTTTATGTCCCAGCCCCAGTAAATGGGATTGAGAATCGGTGAGCCATGTTTGCAACATACTCAAGACCCAAGTTGGTTGGAAGATACAGGGGTAATAATCCAGTGTGTGGGTCATCAGATTCACATTGAAAGACACTCTCTCAGCCTAGACACATCAACGCTGTAACGAATATAGTGAATTTGGTAAGACTTCATATTTCATAGCCTAATTTGTTCATTAAAAGAATGTTTGTTTTCTGCAAGTAATGTATTTTGTCTTTAAATGAAATTGCAATATGAAATATTGTATTGTACATCTTGTGGATTATTGTTAATAGATTATTGTTTTAACCTGGTTGCAGTTGGAGTTGTTGGTTGGTTCGCTGAGCTGACTGGTATTCATGCAAACGTTTTGTCTCCCTTCTAGATGACATTGTCAGTGCTGTGTAGCCTCCGTTGAAGCACTGTTTTTCTGTCCCACTCTGAATTTATATGGTCCGGTCTGTCATGGTGGGCAGTTTGTTTCCAGTTTTGTACCGTAGTGGTACGTCAATGGGGTCTATTTCAACATGTTTGTTAATTGCATCGGTGGTTGAAAACCAGGCCTCCAGGAATTCTCATGCTTGTCTTTGTCTCACTTGCCCTAGTACTGTAACTTTGTCCCAGTCTATTTGATGTCCTTCTATGTTGGAGTGTATTGAAACGAGGGAGAATTGGTTGTGCTGTTTTGCTGTGAGTTGGTGTTCATGTATCCCGGTGGTGAGTTTCCTGCCCGTCTGTCCTATTGTCGAGTTTCTCGCAGTTGCTGCATGGTATTTTATATATCACATTTGTCCTGCTCATTGTGGGTATGGGGTCTTTCATCTTTGAGTGTAACTGGCAAAGTGTGGCTGTTGGTTTGTGTGTTCTCCCTGTGTGCATAAAAACAGGACGACCAACTCTCCCTCATTTCAATACACTCCAACATAGAAGGACAGCAATTTAACTGGGACAAAGTTACCGTACTAGGACAAGCGAGACAAAGACGAGCACGAGAATTCCTGGAGGCCTGGTTTCCAACCACCAATGCAATTAATAAACATGTTGAAATAGACCCCATTGATGTACCACTACGGTACAAAACCGGAAACAAGATCACCATGACAGACCGGACCCTATTAGTTCAGAATGGGACAGAACAACAGCGCATCAACGGAGGCTACACAGCACTGACAATGTCATCTAGAAGGGAGACGAAATGTTTGCATGAAAACTGTTCAGCTCAGCGAACCAACCAAGAACTCCAGATTATTGGCTTAAGAGTCTGTTTGTGACTAAACAAACTTATTTACTGGCGTCGCACTAATGAGTGTTTTGTACTTTTAAGAATGCACAGATTATTGCTGCCTCAGTCTTTAGTGAGATGTTTCCCAATGTTAACCATTTAAAGATAGCATGTTTAGTATTCTGTGGGCCATTGTAGATTAAAAAGGAAACCGTAGATCTTGGACCACAGCACTATATTTATTACTTGTTTCTGCTTCTTCTGCTTCTTTAATCACTTCTATTTTCTCCTGTTTCCTTTTCTTTCTCCACAATTTGTTTAAAAAAAAGTCCTAAAATCAGGTAAGATAATATGAAGCTTTTACTTCTTCAGTGGCCATGCCTGTTCCTGTTCCAGTTGGTAGTGATGTGTTGCGTGTTTAGGTTTTAGAATTTGCCCAAATAGTTAGCAAGCCTCCCCTTGCTCTATCATGCTGTTGCCAAGTTAACCTTGTAGGGTGATTCTCTTAAGTCATGCATTGGCTTGGCGTGTGAGTACTTGAAACCAAAGCTGTCTCTTTCCCTTAATGTGAAATTTGGTCGAATTGTGCAATGTAGACTTCCCCAGGATGTGAGTTAATATACACACTAGAGGTGGTAGTATTCACTGCTTGAAGGAATCAACCATGTTTATTGATTTAACTTTTTGAATGGACCACGTTAGTCAGAGTGAGGGACTTCAGCTTTGTCTTGTTGTTGGGTCTGTGGTAATTTTATGATCTTAAGTAATGCTGAGCGAAATGATGGCACCCGTGATCAAACTAGATGCTCCTGATTTGAGCCTTTGGAATTTGCATGCTACAAATGGGAGCATTCGTTGCCAGATATCCACTGGGTGATGATCACAGATTGGCCAAACCTTCAGTATTCATCCACCATAGTCATGTATTTGCTAACAACATCTTCATTTTAATTAGCTGATTTGGATGTCAACAAGCAAAGTGCTGCCTGAATTCCAGACTGCCCACAGGTAATATGTGCTGCTTGCTCAAGGGAGAAAAATCCCCAAGATTCAAAAAACAAAGGAATCCAAAATGTTCTTATAACTTACACAATTAATGAGAATATACCCTCAAGGCATTGATAGATTCAGTGCATTTGATAAACATAATATTGCCTTTTCACAAAATGTTATTAAGTTCATAGGTTTTAGCTGACAGTAGCCCTCCACTCTGGAGCACTCCTTACTGACAATGCCATGTGATGTAGTGAATCAAAATTCATTGAAGTGGGGTGACACCCTAAAGCAGTATTCTGCATCAAATGAACCATTCCAAGCTTGTCTAGCTAACCACGTCAAATCCGTTTCTGGTTTCATTGGTATCCTGTTAATTCCCACCTTAACACTTCCACGGTTACTGATATATTTTAAAAGGCTACTGTATCGACTTTTACCCATTAGGCTTATTGCAGACCGTCTTCTTGTGACAACTGCTATCACTTGCATGGTACTTTTGAGGTCATCGAGTATGTGTCTTTGCCTCAAAAGCATTCTCTAATCCTTTTTTGTTATTCCTGAAGGCTCAGTTGGGCCATCTTCCTTGGTTTCTTCCTTGGTTTTCTTCAAGCCTCCTTTAGGCCTCATCTCAGTGTTCTTCATTCATTCAACTCCTCTTCCTCAGCTGTTTTTACCCTCAATTTCTCCCTCACTTGTTGCGAGGGCAAGCCTCTTAGGTTATCTTTCTCTTCACGCAATTTAGCAATCCTTTTGACTTTTGAGCTTCTACTCTTGTTCTAACCTGATCATTTGTTTTTCTGTCCAACCATCCTGGTATCCTAAGCCCAGCGATGGTATTATCGCTGGACTGTTAAACCAGAGACCTAGATAATGTTCTGGGGACCCAGGTTCGAATTCCGCCACAGCAGATGGTGGAATTTGAATTCAATAAATATCTGGAATTAAGAGTCTAATGATGACCGTGAATGCATTGTCAATTGTTGGGAAAAACCCATCTGCTTCTCTAATGTTCTTTAGGGAAGGAAACTGTCATCCTCACCTGGTCTGGCCTACATGAGACTCCAGACCCATAGTGATGTGGTTGATTCTTAACTGCCCTGTGGGCAATTAGGAATGGGCAATAAATGCTGCCTGGCCAGCGACACCCTCATCCCGTGAATGAATTAAAAAAGCCATCTTCAGCTGCTTCAACAATGACCCTCCCTCCGTCATAAGGTCAGAAGTGGGGATCTTTGCTGATGATTGCATAATGTTCAGCTCCATTTGCCACTCCTCAGATACTGAAACAGTCCCTGTTCAAGTGCAGCAAGATCTGTGCAATATCCAGGCTTGGCTGACAAGTGACAAGTAACAGTTCGCGCTACATGAGTGCCAAGTATTGGCCATCACCAACAAGGAAGAATTGAACCATTGCCCTTGGACATTCAGTGTCAACATCCTGGGGCATTACCTTTGACCAGAAACTTTGCTGGAACAGCTTTTTAAATACAGTGGCTAGAAGAGCAGGTCAGAGACAAAGGATACTGTAACAAGTAACTCACCTTCTGACTCTCCAGAATCCATCCACCACCTAAAAAGTGTAAGTCAGGAATATGATGGAATGTTGCCAACGTGCCCGTCTGGGTGCAACTCCAACAACACTCAAGAAGCAGCCTGCTTGATTGGCACCGCATTCAATCCCTCTACCACCAATGGTTAGTGGCAGCAGGGTGTACCATCTCCAAGATGCACAGGAGAAGTTCACCAAGGTTCCTTAGACAGCACCTTCCAAACCCATGATCGCTACTGTGCAGAAGGACAGGGCTAGCCAATCCATGGGAACACCATCAACTGCGAATTCGCTTCCAAGCCACTCACAATCCCGATGTGGAAATGTATCGCTGTTCCTTCACTGTCGCTGGGTCACATTCCTGGAATTCCCTCCCTAAAGGCATTGTGGGTCAGCTTACAGCATGTGCTGCAGTGGTTCAAGAAGGCAGCTCACCACCACCTTGTACATTCTACATATTGCCACCTCCGATGACGTGGCCTCGTCTCCCTGGTAACCACCATCCTGATTGCCTTTGACAGTGTTAAGCAACGTGGTGACAGAGGCGCCCCTGCCTGACTCCATCCTCAAACTGAAAATGATTTGTATGCCCATGGTCAATTCCGACGCCTGCTAAAACATTTCTGTACTGCTCTTTTCTGAGCTTTAGATCATGCTTGTGGACACCAAAGTTGAGAAGTGTCTTCACATTGAGCAGTTAGTCCATCAGCAGACCTGTTGATTTTCACATGTTTGCATGAGTGTCCTGAGCACAAGCTCAGTGTCAGTTGGACCATTTCCAATGAATGAATCCAAACTGCTCCTCGGTCGCTTCACTGTTGACACAGGGCAACTCTGTCTAATGCTGACGAGTGATACTTTAAACGCATGACGAGGGAGACTTGGTGTATGAAATTATTGGACAGTCCAGTGTGCCTGCTTTCTAGTCACTGTGACCATCTCATACACTGTCCAATAGCATTCACCTGTTATCTATATCATTTTTGGTCATCTCTTTCACTGCATCAGCTTTCACCACCTACATTTAGTGCTTCTGCAGGTATCCCCCATCGCTCTGATAAAAAGGCTCTAAATGTTTTAATATACAAGATTTGACAATTAGACAACATTTCCTTTCAATCTGAGTCCAAATGACTTCCCATTTGGCATACTCCTGAATTCTCTGTCCATGAATATATTCAGTTGCCTCTTGGAGATGTCCACATGGTATTTGCTTCAATGGTCTTGTCTAATTTCTTGACAGATCTATTTCCATTCTTGATCCTAATTTAATTTTTAATTTACCTCTTGGTAAATGAACCTCTCGCCCTTGATTCCAGTTTGCCTTGATCAACCTCTTTATAGTCTCAAAAACTACAATTATGCGTGACATGTGATATAACACCACAGAGGCTTGTATCCCGTTGGTAAGCCCCCCTTTATTTACATATACAGTGTCCTTGACACTGACCCAACTCTCTCAGTGAACAGAACCTCTGATATTCCTGTTTATACCTGTCAGCCAGGCCTCCCTGATTAGACCAGATTAACAGGCCTAACCAGGGAACTCATACTCTGTAAGGACCAGCTGGCTGACCTTATTACAATTGCTACAATATGGTGTCCTCTTGTCCATAGTGTTGACCCAACATTCTGAAACCTCTCCTCGCAATCTAGATGCTAGGGAACTTTTCTGTTGCTAACACGAACCATCTTACTTTGCACTGGGAATGACTCCAACTAAAGGAGAATTTGCTTGCTGATTCCAAATGGAGAAAGATTGGAATGGAGGTGGGTGATTCAATTCAATTAAGGAATGAGTGATTGATCCTGTCAGAACTGAATCCTCTCAAACTGGCTGGGACTAAAATCCTGATGAAACAAATAACTAGAACAGCTAACATTGGCAATAAACCAATAAGGAGTTGTGAGGCTGAGAGGGGAGTTAAAGAAATATCAAGGCACCAGTGAAGTTGAGTAAAAATAAGGACAGTGTTTGGAAGGACCAGAGAGCTGACAAGAGATAAAAGGACATTAGCCATTGAGGTGAGATGTTGGAAAGAGAAAACTGTTAAAGCTGAAGGACCTGTATCTAAATGTGCAAACACTTAGCAACAATAGTTGAATTTGTAGCAAGTAAAAGTAATTGGTTTGATTTAATAACTATGACTGTGATGTGTTTACAAAGTGACTGCAAGGTTAGGAGTTAAGTATTTTGGAACTGCTTGATTTTTGAGAAGAGGTAGAAAAAGTGAAAAATTAGGGACAGTAGTCCTGATGGTAAAGGACAGGAGAAGGACAAGAGAGAAGAGAGAGTGACTCAGAAAGTGAAGAAGTAGAATTGATTTGCATGGAGCTAAGAAATAACAAAGAGCAGAAAATGCAGGTCAGAATAGTTACTACCCTGTTCAGAGTACTTGCAGTGTTTGACAGAACATAAATCAGGAAATTAAAGGTGTAGGAAACAAAGCCCTGTGTTCAAATCCTACCTGTTGCAGGAGGTGTGTAATAACATCTCTGAATGGGGTGATTAGAAAAATATTCTGCAATTATCAGGGTCTTTAATCCCTCTTATAGACTAAACAAAAGCAAATTTGCAGGAATTCCATGGAGGGAGAGTTGAGGGAATGCACTCAATGTAGCGTACGAGATCAGTGTTTTGAGAAACCAGCATGGAAACATTGTGCGATGAGACCAGCTAACTAATACCAACAACTTAAATAGCACTTTTCATTTAAAAATCCCAAGACATTGCACAGGAACATTATGAAGCACAGTTTTACACAAAACCATGTTAAAAGCTATTAGATCAAATAG